AAATGATACGGGGAACACGACGTACGCCCACAACTAGAAGAGTAAAACGAGAATTAAATAAGATTACAGTTGCCATCAATTAATGCACATTATATACCCATCCTCTATATCCTTACGGCCAAACTAACACATTATGCTTCCTTCAGAGGGAGAGCTATAGATCCTACACTTATTCAGATTACTATTAACTCAAGTACGCATAACTATTTATCAATAGAACAGATTTTATTTTTTGTTAATAACAAAATGCTGTCACGATCAGGCTCCTAGCGCTAGTGGGTAGCACTCAAGAAATCTGTGCCAGGTTTTTCGATCATATTCCAGTAACCAATAAGAATGCGTAATTGTTTGATCAGCATCCAATAAGAATGCAGAAATTTTTTATCAGACCGGCAAAACAAATCCGACACAAGAAAAGAAAAAATACAAGAACTGTGAAAAATACGAGAGACAGGTGCCTAAATATAACTTGGAGTACTAATTAAAAATGTTGGAGAGACAATTTTATACATAACTTGTATTTTAGCTTTAATCCTAATCCTAAAATCAACCTTTTAATATTAATTAATGTTAATTAATATTACAGTAAAATTTTCTGAGATCAACAAAACCTGGCACAAATTTCTTGAATATTATTGTGAGGTAAGTGTTCAACCAATGTCTATGCAATAATTTACTATGATTTCAGTAAGTATATGAATATTTAGTTCTTATTTTATTGATTAATTCATATCATAAATTTAATTGGATAATACTTTATTGTATTTTATTGGTTAATTTTATATTCATATTTTATTGAATATTAGCTATATGAAATATTATTTGTAGATATTTTTAAATGGTTAAACAAGCAATATAATCATAGCTAAACTAGCAATATGATCATAGTGAAAATAAGCAATTAAATCTCAACAAAAATAGCAATAATATTATAATAAAAATAGTATTTGTAAAACTATCAAATATTATAAAAATAATATATCTTAGCTAGTAATTTAGATAGATTTTATAGTTTTCAGAATTTCAAGAATAATAAATAACAATTAAAAACATATAATAAATTAATAATAAATTACCTAATAATAAAATTATATTTTATTATTATTAAATTATGATCTTATAATGAAATTATATATTTATTATATAAAATTCTTTAATTAAATTTTCTTATTAAAAATTTCAAATCTCATTCTAGTTGGTCTCATCCTAGTTGATCACATCATGAATACATTATTAATTCTCTTTAAATTTATTATTATTATAGTTTAATACTTAATGTATTATAGATTTGATTATATTATACTCCCCCTTCTATAATTTTTAATAAATTTTACTATAATTATTCTAATTAAGTAATTTATTATAATGTTATTAAATACTTTTCAGCTCTTCTAAGAACTCATAAAATATAATAATTATATATAACTTTGAAATTTATATGCTATATAATTTTATCTATTAATAAATATCACTATTACTAATAAATTTAATTATTTATTTAGTGTATAAACAGTTCTAAAACAATATAATACTTATTATTTTTTAACAAATTGATTGAAAATTCAGTAATATAGCAATATATATATTAATCTTCCAGAATATTGTAAGTACTTTTTAAAATAAAAATTAATAAAAAATATGTTTTATTATTATAAGCTAATAGATTTGCTAAATTATAATATATATTATCTTAAAATTTCAAGTAATTTAAATTACTATTCAAAAAATATATAAAAAAACATAAAATTTAAAATTTATTATTAAATTAAAACTTATTTCATTCAAACTATAACATATTTTATTTGATTCAAGTTATATTTAGTCCAAATTAATTTTATAAATCTAATATTAATATTTTGTCAAATCTCTTCTAGCTTTAATACAAATATTAATATAATTCAATATATTATTTATCAATTAATAGCAAAACTCAAATAATATATTATATTAAATTTTCTGAACAATATATTCAAGATTAACAAGATTACTTGAGTTTGATTTGTATTAAAAAATATTTTGATCTTATATCAAAGATTTTAGATTTGGATTTTGAACAGGTCAATTCAACACTCAAAATTTATTTTCTTTAAGAAAATTATTAGTGATATTGTTACTATTCTTATATTGATAGGCAAGATATTAACTAATTATAGTAATTAATTAAGAATTATATAAGAGTGATAATAGTGACTGTGTGTATTTGAGAGAGTTGAATATTAGATAATTGGGAGAGAGTATTAAAAAGAAATAAATTCTAATACTTCCACTAGTTAGATAAATATTTTATAATTTAAAAGTGTGAATGATTTATTAAAATATAAAAAATAACTTTTACTAGTTGAATAAGTCAAAGTTAAGTAAATAATAAATTAAAAATAATAATAAGTAAAAGATTATTTAGAAGTATCAATTAACTTTTATATTTTTTATTACTTTCAAAAATTATTATTGAGATTCTTGTTATTCTATATTAAATTACATCTGTTTAAATATATGTAAATATAATATAGATCTACATGATAAGTGATATTACTTAAAAACAATTATAAGATTAATTTGGAAGAAGTATAATACCAAGAAATGATAAATATAATACTAATTTAATCTAAGCAATACAATTTAAATTAGAGTGACATTAGTACTATATTAATTAATGTTAAATGAAATTAATTTAAAATAGAATGAATTTAGATTTAATAATGTTATAATAAAATAAATAATGTGATATTAAAAAGAATTAATTGGTATTTTTGATAAATTATATGTAAATTAAATAAATTAAATAATTAAAAATAAAATTATAAATAGAAAATATAAAAGAAAATATAAATATTTATCAAAATTATATCACATGATATTTTACATGTGATCCAAAATATCAAATGGTAACATTATATAAATTATATAAAAAATTAAAAATATATAAAAAAGAATCTCTTGTCATTAGAAACTCTCATGCTTTAATCCTATTATTTAATAAATAACAAAATTCTTATTAGTAATATTTTATGTGTAAATATATTATTATTTTTATGAATTATCTTCAAATCTTGGAATTATAAATAATGAATGCTCCTTTACTCTAAATAAGCTATTAATGTTATTACTTTTAGATTGTGTCAATAAGTTTTGTTTGATTATTTTTAGTTATTTTTGTTTATATTTTGTAATTAATAATCTCAATAAGTTTGATTGTTATTTTATTTCATTAGGTATTATCAATAAGTTTTGTTATTTATTTTGAAACTATTTGTTAATTTCTTTAATTCTCTTTACATTTTCATTTTATTTTTCTATCTATTTCTATTCTTTATTAATAATAATTAGTTAGTTTGTTTACAAGCTATTACAGGAGATTTTTAGAACCTTCAGTGAATCCCATTAATCATAATTCATTCAGTTTTTGTTCTTTCATTGTTATATTACTTTGTTAGTTCATTAATTTCAACAATTTTTGAATTAATGAGAACACCAGCCATGACAAAAAAATGAATTATGTAATTTAAAATAGATCCATTAAAATATCTGATTAATATTAGATATCAAGTATTTGAGATCAAGATTGTATATAAAATTGGCTTTCTGACATTTTTTGATAATGTGTCAAGCTAGATTTAGATATTTGTTTTTTGTATTTTTCGCATTTTTGTCTTTTTTCATTTTCTTGTGCCGAATTTGTTTTGCTGGATTGATCAAAAATTTGCTACATTCTTATTGGTTGCGCAGAACTTTTGTGCGTTCTTATTGGTTGGATTTGTTTATTATCACGTGATACGACACCTTTTTTTGCCATGGCTAGGGTACTTGATCAAAACGTATGACGTTAGCACATTTGTAAATCAATTGAATCTAATCTTAACACAAGATCGAAATTGGGGACTTGCACTTAAATGTTACCAGAAATTTTTCCACTCCATCGAAAGTGAAAGTTCTTTCAGCGTGTTTTTTTCTTTCATGTCCGAAAAAAGACAAATTGGTAATCGGTAACAACCGACTGATATATTAATTCGTTTTAATACTGCACGTTTTGTATAGGTATAACTGATAATAACCATTTTATTCTATTCAGAATACCTGAAACCAGATTATAGTTAACATTGAGATAATATGTTATTGCAGATAGTGTAGATAAACAAAAAACTTATAGTGTAGGCAGTAGTATAATAAAAATAAATGGGTTCGAGTTTATTACAATAAATAAAGCAAAGATGTTTTAACGCGATTTTTACAAATATTTTTTTCATGTGGTTAACCTTTTGAATAACTATGTTTCAAAGATGGCCGGATAATTAGTAAAAATTTTTGGAATCTTCGTTATATAAAGATTTACTATGGTGCAAACGGTCTAAAGACATCCAATACTTTAAACTGTAAAGGATACACTTTAACCACAAAAAAAAATACGTTATATTATAGTTCTTATCAAAGGTTACTTAGCAACGTATTTTTTTGTAGTTAAAGTGTTTGGGATGCGAACCCTTACAGTTTAAAGTATTGGATATATTGGATGTCTTTAGGCCGTTTGCACCATACACTTTTTATAGCGAACTATCAAGTTATTGCAAATTCTAACTTCGTTATATCGAGGTTTTAATTACACTTGGTTATAACCAGAGTTCTTTATAACCAGTTTTGACTGTAGTTGTATGCACTATACCATATTTGGGTTATATTATTATATTTTGCCTTTATATAGGAGTGTCAATTAGAGAAAGATTACTATATCGAGAATTATTATATTAATATATTATAGATTATATAATACAAGTTGATCACATAAGATCGGGTGCAATTATTACTAAATAAAGATTGAGCGCACAATTTTTTTGGAAAGAAAAAACACGAAGAATTGAAGACTTCTAATTATTTAATTAATTGTTTATTCTATTCTCACAAATTTAAACCACGAAAGAGTAAATAAAAAGTATGCTCTGCTGCTTTTTAAATCCTTCCGTTAAAGAATTTACGGTTTGATAATGTTTTTTGGAAAAAAATGATAATTAAATAGTTTCCCCACTTGTCAATTCTCCCGATTCCAATTCGCCACTCGCAAAATCCTCCTTATTTACAAAACCTTCCTCTTCTGGTGAGCAAGGCAAAATAGGTGAAAATGGATATTCGCCACCACCATCTTGACTAAATTTACGTGTAATAGGACTAACCGCATGTGTAATAGGATCAGTAATTGCACGGCGATGCAGTAATACACGATTATTGTCGTTGCCATTCCCGCCACCACCACATCCAATATCTGTTGCCGCTTTCGCATGACCCGGAAAAATTGGAAGTATAGTGGTATCATACATGCTGATTCTTGCTTCGCCAAGAAATCCAGAAGCTCCACCCCAATAACCGACTAATCCAGTTCCACCTTCGCTTGAAGTCAATGCACGATCCAATTCGACTGTATCCTCGACTGTAATTCCCTTGAGGGGGTTTCGTGGTAGCCAAAGTTTACGATTTAATGCTTTTACAAGATTCGGGTGAAAGTAAGTTTGGTAAGGTGATTTGTCATCCTGAATTGTTTGAAGATTTGGGTCGTGTGTCAGATTAAGATTTGCACGTGCTAAGAATCCAGAAGGGGTTCTTGGTGTGTGTGAAGGAACATTTAGAAAACTTGAGGGAGTACGATTTGGGGAAATGGCTGTTGGTGAAGTTGAAAATAGTATGGGTTTTTGTGTTTCGGCATCATTTCCAGAGTCTGCAACATTTTTCTTTTTGTTTAAAGGAATAGGTTCATTAGAAGTGGAAACCATCTTTGGTGGACCCGGTTTCACAGTTGTGATTCCTTTGTATCCTGATGGCGCAATATTGTCTTTTGTTCGATGCACGCCCTCTGTATTCAGTGTTAATATAGGTGTAGTACGTCCAGTTGTTGTATTTTCGGCATTCTGTTCGCCTGATGACACGTCTTTTGTGAGATCGGTTAAGCTCTGTCCTGGTCTTGCAGTTGTCTGTCCCAAGCTGAGCCTAACACGAGGTCCCTCGACATGTTTTGTTACTGATGTGGTGGTTTGATTATTATTACTATTATCAATAGAGCTTTTGAAGATAGCGGTAGAATTATCAGAGATACTTTCCATGCTTCCATTATTTTCTGATAACCTGTTGAAATGTTCGGCGACAGCGTCTTGTGTAATTATTGGCTCAATACTATCATTGAGATTAAAAGATTCTTGCTTTTTTTCCAGCTCTTCTTTTTCCGATTGTTCAATCACCACGGGTAATCCTTTTTCATTACTAGTTAGATCATCAATACGACTATCTGCTGTTGGTTCATCTTGTCTAGCTTTCTCGGCAGTCTCCATTTCAAGTCGGGTATCCAAGGCTAAATAGTGAGTTCTTGAGTAAAAAGTTTTGTGACAGTAATACCTGAAGTATACAGTTCCGACAAGCAATGGCACCAAAAAGGCACCAGCGACAATAGCAGTTCTTAGCCAAATCAATCCGATCATGGTGAGTTGATAGATAATCAGTCCGTCAGTAGTATAGCCGAAAACTCTTCGATAGAATTTCCCGCCAGATTCATAACGTCGTACATAACAATACGCGAACTGATGCTTATATACTACGAAGGCTACCGCGTAATAAACCAGTGAAAATATTAGAATTAGCGGATTTATCGTGGAGTAAGTGATGGTAATGACGAGCACTAGTATATGATTTGGATAGTAGTAATAAAATTGGAAAGGCCATGGATGGGAGACTCGTTGAAGCATTCGTGGAGTTGTGGCGACAAATCGTGATGTAAGGATTATATGAAGGAAGAGTTGGGATCCCACTTGCAGAAGTTCAAGTCCATGAGTACAAATATTGAAAATAATATAATTTATAAAAAATGTTGCCCCCTATTAAAAAAAATTATGATTAGATAACAATGACGCGTCACGCGTTCTCGTGAATTCAAATAAATACCTGTGGTAAACTTTTTGCTAGTGTCTCTATAATGCTTGTGGGCTGATTTATCACGTCAAATATCGACTCGAGAAATGTTATACCCAATAAGAACACGATAAACACATTGAAAAAAGAGAAATGATAATATCGAATTAAAACAGCCTCTTCAAGTTCAGAATAAGAGGGAAAACTTTCTTGTTTCGATATTTCTGTTATTTGAAAATAAAATTCATTAGCAATGATTAATTGCAATGTAAAAAATGAAGAAATGTGTAAATATATTACCCATTAAAATCCAAGGTAACATTGCCATAAAGAACGAAACCAATACAGTTGGTAACACATTCTGTAATAGTGTACGCACAATAGGACGCGCCTCTAAAAAGGGTCCCAAAAAATGAATTCTTTGTGAAAGAGAATCAATTGAGGTAAGGGTAAGAAAGGCGAATATGGGAAAGAGCCAAAATATCGTTAAAGCCCTAAAGTTAAAGATATTTCAAACGAAGATAAATTTTGAGGATGGTTTGAATAAGATACAAAGGTGGTTAATTTTGGTATCTTGAATTGACTGGTTGATTTGTGAAATAAAATTAAGTGACGGTAGTTGTAAATTTACCAGACACTAGCGTTAACAATCCAGGTTCGTATCATTTTCTCCCGAAAACGCATTGATATATTTTCCCATAGTATATCTCGGGGCTCGGGTGCCATTTTCGTGGTAAGAGTATGCGGTTTTGTGCTCATAATACATTGCGCGGCCATATTAGCACTAGTATGATTAACGAATGTAACAAAGCCAGTACTTGTTGGTTTTGGTGGTCTCTCGTTTACGGAAATTGCGCGTATTTCTGCAATACGCCTATCCAAAAAATTGAATTTTTTGAGAAAATGATCGATTGAGAGCACTCGAGTTCCGGTCCCAAAATATCCAATTCTATGAGTTGGCTGATATTTATCCAAAGTTGCCTTTGGAAGCTGTGCGAGTGCTTCCCAGATAAGAAATTGACGTCCATAGCCATCTTCTTGATCTAAGAAATCTTCGCTTGATGAGAACGTGCTTGTGTTTGCGGAGGTTGCAGAAGGTTTGTTTGTAGATTGGTCTTCAAGAGTATTTGATTGTTTCTTTTTTCGCCTATCCAATAAATCGACGAATGGCTGAAGAATTTGACGTTCTTTGGCGTTACCAGCCTCTAATTCCAATGAAGGATCATTATCGTTATTACTATTAGCCGTATTATTTTCTTTCGGACTCGAAATATGCTTTGGCTTGAATCCAACTCCGAAATGATACCATTTCCGCTTTTTAATAGCATAAACAACATTCTTAGCCAATTGAATATGTGCTTTTTCCAACGCAAGAAGCGCTTTTTCACGCCTAGTAATCTTTCTATTCAATTTTCCAATATGTCTGACCAATCTAGCAGATTCCACCTGCCCAATACCCAACGCCTCAAAATGCAATTTCAATCGTTCCTCAGACCGAAGGTCTTCCGGAATCCGCGACACCATCACTGTCCGTGCACTCACCGACCCTCTTTTCGCCTTATTCATTAAATACTCTTTACGCATCATCATATAATCCCAGTAGGATATGTACAGAAAGTACATCCAACTGATACTGACAAAATACGTGCAAATCATGTGCGCCCAAAGATACTTGTAGTTATTCTGGGTGAGATTATTTACCGAAAACACTTGCACCCCCTTCTCTTCACCTTTCCCGAAATAATTAATCGGCATTAGAATCGAGCATACCACCACCACGTTAAATACCAGAAATTTTAACGCCATTGTCAGAAAACGGAGATACATGACCGCGTCTAGACCTACATTTTGTAGGTAAAACTTCTCGGGTAGGGATACTGTCGCTTTTATCCATGTGAAGAGACCACGAGGTATTGGCGGAGATGCATTCCTAAATTATATGAATAATATAAGATTATATTCATTTATCTATTAACTGTAATCTCGATTCTATGCAATGAACAAATTACGCACTCTGAAAGCCTTGTTCTTGGAGTGTATAGATATTGCATGGAATCTCTATGACGATTCCATTCAAACTGTAGCACACAATAAAGTGATATACTAGCTGATATTCCAAGCTGCGTTGCCAGACCAAGCCAGGTAGGCGAGTAATTGTGTGCAGTGTCAAGAGTTGCCATATTTCTTTCTTTCAATAGTAATTTTCAAAGATTTACGATGTTAACTCAATATGTTAAAGTCTTATTCCCACGCCGCTAATAAAAGCGAGGCGAGGCAAAAAATTTATAACCGTGCCAAGATGTAATAATAAAAAAAGAAGACAAGGTGGTATTTTAAAAAGACTTGGACAACCACTAGCTGCTGTTGTTATTTATGTAATACTATAAAACTTTATTTTATGTATATGTCTCCTTATTTATTTGTACCCAATTGTGTTTGTTATCAAAAAACAGTATATGATCGCCATTTGGTGTTACTTATCGTTATGTAACAATAACGGTTTGTAGTGTTAATTACGTCATTCTTTGTAAATAACTTCAGCCAAGTCTTAGGTAACCATTTTATAACCAATTGGCACTTGGAATCAGAATGGTTTTGTAAATTCACTAAATTTCTATAATATGTAAAAGAAACAAATATCTAATAAATATTTACTGTAGAGCACTGCCTTCATATAATACCTGTCCAAGTAAAATACCACCAATGAAATCATACTATTCAATGTCAAAATTATTTTTGAATAATACCATAGGTAGGTAGTGTCTTATATTTCAATCTTTTGTTTTAGAAACTAAAGATTTTATTTGATACTGAATACTTGTTATATTTTCTTAAAAATCCTATTTCTATTTTTTATTCATCGTCTTTTTACCCATTGTAAATTTAAAATGAACTATTTTACAGATTCTCTATATACTTCGGTCTTTTAGACATAAATAATTCTTTACAACGAATTTGAAACATTTTAATAAATTAATCGTTGATATCAGGATTTGGCTCATTATATTTATTAGTAATTTAATCAAGTGATTATTATGAAGATTGATTGTCCACTATATTGAGGTAGGTTTTCGGGCGAACTTTTTTTCAAAATCCGCCCAGCGAGCTTTCAGCCCTGAAAGTCCGAAACCTAATTTGGAAACACTTTGTAGATCAAATTACTCGAAACTAGTTCGCCTAGATAGAGTAGAGCATAACGGTAACGAACGTGCTATGTGCTTTCCATTTGAGGAAACTGTTTGAATTTGTACTCGCATCTTCCTTCATTGGTTCTCTAGATCAACAGCACGACAATTTCTTAAAAAAGCTAATGAATTAATACAGCTTGCAATTCCGACTGTATATGGCAACCGTCCATCTTTTCTATTTTGCAAAAGATGTGTTACACGCATAATCTAGAAGTCGAGTTGTAAATATAGTTTTTTTTAGAATATTAAAAGTTTTCAAAGGTCACTTTGAAAAGAACTCATTCTGATTTGTTGGATTTCTTACATGATTATTTCCATATAAAAAATCACGTAAAACAAACATATCACAATTTTTTATCTTTTCAAATAACACTCCAGCATGTTATTGAAGACCCTGAGTACCCTCAGAATTTTTAATTTTAAATGAATTTACCCCTCAAAAGTGTTATTTGAAAATCCTTAAATTCCATGTTCATTGGCACACCTTGAAAAGATAAAAAAATGCGATTTTACTGGTGAATTCACAAGTATATTCTACATGCTGCATTTTTATTGGCTTCATATGACTCATACTTGCATATCAAATTTCATGACTTCCCTTTTTTCAGATATTATATAAGTTTTGGAAACCAAGTTTTTTTAAAACCCTGGTATTTTATTAGATATATATTATTTTTCAATATTTGAACGCGACGGAATTTCGACAAAATACGCAATTTGCGTATTGGTATCAGTATTGAAACTATTCCTATAATACCAAAAATGATCTATGGGAGCACCAGAAATCAGGTGATTCCTCAGGGTTTTTGCTGATAAATGGCATTCCCCTACTATCTAAAATGTCCCGTCATAAAATCCCCCTTCCCCCACAAAGTATCCTTCCAAACAAAGTATCCACCATCGCACAAAATACTCCTGGTATTATACAGGGTTTAAATCAGGTATTTTGTCCAAGACCTCGGGTACTTTAAGTAGTGCTCTATTCAAAATTTGAATATTCATATTCAAAAATCGGCTCCAGATTATGGGTCATTAATTATCATATAAATTTGCCTCTGATAACTCTTTCCATTAATGAAGACGAGAGGAAAGTTATAGACTGAAATCAGAAAAGATACTCATATCATTAAAGCAAGATTGCAGATAAAATTTTATTTAAAAAATTGTGAATCATTATCTCACTTTACTATTTGAACAGTTAATTCACTACCGCCCGCTGCACCAATTTCAAAACCACTACCACCATTCACGTTAGCATTTCCTATATGCAAGAGTGGTCCCAATCGTTGATACACATGCGCTAACACCGCTTGTTCATTGGCATCCGGTTTCACATGTAAACATAGTGTTCCAACCAGTTGGTTGTGTGAATTTTGCCATACATGTACGGCGCGTATTCCCAATATCGATGGATCACGTTGAATCTTTGGTATTTATATGATAAAATTGACGTTAATGATGACATTAATTAGAAACGAGTATTTACGAATATTTCATACCTCTCTTAAACAAACTTCCAAGTTCAATGATATTGTATCCGGAGTTGTCTGCAACAATATTTTTCCCAATGACGTAGCAACAGGCTTGCCAATTGAAAACATTAAAATAGATTCTAGTAATGAAACAGTAACGTCCAACCAACCCAACGTCGGACTAAGTGACAAAGATTATCAATGAGAGCGTAAACAAAGTACTTGTAACATAAAACATAATGAACAAAAAGTTATACATACTTTTTTTCGGCAATTAATCCAGCTGCGACAACAGCTATGCCACATCCCAATGTGAACATAGTAAAATAATTGTAAAAATTTGACGTATCAATGTTTGATTGATGGTTTGAATACGTTTTTCGGGAAAAATTTTTTCGCAATACTAATAAAAAATGATATTAAATATAAATACATAACAGTGATTTTCCTGAATTACTGTCTATTGTCTATACAAGACCAACCTTCGCTAAAACCTTGATGATTTTGATAAAATATGGCAGATATTAGAGTAGCTCCTATTGAGATTAATACCAAAAATAAAGGAAATGCTGGACTAATAGAAATAAATCACATGGTCATTATAATCTTTTTAAACAATCAAATATGCTAATATCCATAACGCGTTACATTACCTGCCTTCACCATAATGTTCTTGGCTAATCTCCAACATTAGATGCTCAAGGCTCTCTTTCATAGTATACATCGCTACAAATAGTAGATAGATAGTGCTCACAAAACCAAATAAAACTTCATATCGCAGAACTCTAATTAAAACAACAATACTTTGTCAACTATGTTCATAAACTCAGAAAAAATCAAGTTGCCTTACCCGAATGGATGTCGTAAGGTTGAAACTTGTAACGATCGATAAGTTGAAATAACGGTAGAGATAAATTTCGTGAATACACCAAATGCGTCGAATATTACTAGATAACCAAAGCCTATAAGTGCTTTTGAAAGATTGTGAAAGCACTTCAGGTAAATATAATCGCTTAGTAAATTTCAATAATCTATGCATAATCCGATATTTTCCTCGAGTTATATAATATTTAGATGATGAATGAACATACATTGTCGTATATTTAAAAGTTTTCTTGACTTAGTTATTGGTAATTAAATGAGAAACCAAGAGGAAAAGTTTGATTTTGAATGCTGATAAGTGAAGTCGTAAAAATTGATTCATTCATTATATAAATCCTAACCCTAAGAACAAAGCTTACCAAGTCTATCGTCCCGTTGTCCTTTTAACCACAAAACTACACCTAATATTAAATGTATACATGCCCAAGTAAATAAAGTCTTTTGTGAAGAGGGTAAATTAAAAAAAATATAAGATAATGAAGGCAAAGGTTTCGAAATGACTATATTATGTTCATGGTTATGGTGTCGATGGGTGTCCATTACGCGCGTGGAGAATTTGCATGAGTGAGGTTGAAAATCTTATCGTTACATATTTCAGAGCAAAGCATGTGATTAAGTTTCGTGTAACCTGTAACAATGACAAAGGATTAAGTTTAAAATTTATATTTAATTCCTTCGCTGCTAAACGTAAAGTAGAAAAACACGTTTCCCAAAACCAGTAACTTCTAATTAATTAATACCCACACGTCTTTGGACCAATAAAATTCCCAATTCGAGAAAAAAATTTTGTAGATAAAACTCGGGAATTATCTATCATTACGTAATCTGTATATCCGTATACTTTGTTGAAATGGACGAAATTAACAAACTCGAGTATCTTTCTCTAGTCTCAAAAATCACTAGTGAACTATTAAATCACACTGGGTTCAACGATAAAACACTAGGTACTTAATTATTTAAATCTAAGATCTAATTTTCACCTCAAGAACTTTTTACCTTTTACTGACATCTGAAAACTTTTTAAAGCTGAGTTTGTAATCAATCTTCACGAAGAAAACAGTTCATTGCCAGAATTCAAGAAAGCACTATGCGATGCTGGCGCCGAATTTCCGGAGTCGTTTATTCAGACACTTGACCGTCTAATACGGAAAATGCATCCAAAGTACAAAAAAGATAAAGGTAAAGGTAAAGACGGTGACAACAATGATGATGATTATTCCGATAGATATGATCCTGATCAGAAGGCGGCTCTGTTTCCGGGGCTAGCATTACCAGATGATCCTAATTGGGTAAGTAAGTATAATCAAAAAGAATTGATTTCACTTATTTATTTTAAAACTTTCAAAAACTCAAAGCTTGTTTTTGTCTAAACCTTAAATCTGCAGAAAAACAAACAAGATCGACTCAAGGCAAAAGATGCACAGATACAAGACTTACTAGACACGAAAAAAAAGGAGGCAATTGGTGGACGTAGTTCCAGAAATATTAGAAGTGGAGGTGGTAGTAGTAGTAGCAGTTCACGTAAACGAAAAAATAATCGAAGTAGAAGTAGAAGTCGAAGTCGTAGTCGTAGTCCTCCTACTCCTACAGTTAGGGCTAGTAGAGACCGATCCCCCATACCAAAACGTAATAGAAGATCACCATCTATAGGAAAACCGCCAATCGTCGATGACGACGACAAAGCGCCCAGCAGTCTCAATCGTCTTTCGTCTCCTGAGCGATGGGAAATTAAGCAACTTATTGCTTCGGGTGTATTCAAAGCCTCAGATTATCCCAATATTGACGAAGAGCATGGATTCATAGAAAGTATGGAAACGGAAGAAGAACTCGATATTGAAATTCGAGAAGATGAACCACCGTTTTTAAGAGGACAGACGAAACATACAATGCAGTTGAGTCCTATTAAAGTTGTTAAAGCTCCTGATGGCACGTTAAATCGAGCGGCTATGGCTGGGGCTTCATTGGCTAAGGAGAGAAGAGAATTAAGGTAAATTTGATGTTATTTGAGATTATGTTAATCATATATGCTAGTTTCTCTTAATATTTATTACCTTAACCACTATAATTACATAATAATAGGCAACAACAAACAAACGCTGAGCTGGATTCTGTTCCCAAAGATTTAAATCTACCTTGGCTTGATCCTATGCATGACCCTGGCGAACGACATTTCGCTCAGGATCTAAGAGGAGTTGCTGCTGGTCGTAAAGCAGGCGAAGTACCCGAATGGAAGAGAGAAACTTTCAATAAGACTACAAGTTTTGGCAAGATAACAAATTTGACTATTCGAGAACAAAAAGAAAGTCTACCGATCTTTAAATTTAGAGAAAAACTAATACGTGCTGTGAAAGAGGTACGTTATCTATCTTTGATTAAATCTAATAAAAATCTTGGTTATATGTTGTTTTTTCAATTAACCTTATTAATATTTATAATCATAGAATCAACAACTTATTCTTATTGGTGACACTGGTTCTGGCAAGACTACACAATTAACCCAATATCTCGCTGAAGAAGGATTCGCTGATCGTGGCAAAATTGGGTGCACTCAACCTCGTCGTGTTGCCGCAATGTCAGTAGCAAAACGTGTCGCGGAAGAAGTGGGTTGTCGTCTTGGCTCGGAAGTTGGATATACAATCCGTTTCGAAGATTGCACTAGTCCCGAAACTAAAATCAAATATATGACGGACGGTATGCTTCTTCGTGAATGCTTGCTCGATATCACGCTTTCTCAGTATTCGCTTATTATTCTTGATGAAGCTCACGAAAGAACAATTAATACGGACGTACTTTTCGGGTTGCTGAAGAGTAAGTTATAAACAAATATATAATAATATCTCTCGTGCAATTGCTCAAAAGAAAATATTTTTGCTAATCAATTAATTTTTTCCTTGATTTTAGAAACTTTGAAAAGGCGACCAGATTTTCGAGTAATTGTCACTTCGGCAACTCTTGACGCTGAAAAGTTCTCTGCATACTTTTTCGATTGTCCAATCTTTACGATCCCAGGTCGTCCACATCCTGTCGAAGTACTCTACACCAAAGAACCAGAATCTGATTATTTGGATGCAGCACTCATAGTAGTCATGCAGATACATCTTTCTGAACCGCCAGGTGATGTTCTATTGTTTCTTACTGGTCAAGAAGAAATTGATACTGCGGCCGAAATTCTGTATGAGCGTATGAAATCTCTGGGTCCGCAAGTACCTGATCTTATTATATTGCCGGTGTATTCTGCGTTGCCGAATGAAATGCAGTCACGTATTTTCGAGCCAGCACCGCCAGGTAGCCGTAAAGTTGTTATTGCGACTAATATCGCTGAAACTTCTATAACAATTGATGGAATTTACTATGTGGTGGATCCTGGGTTTGTCAAGCAAAATGCGTATGATGCTAAAGTTGGTATGGACTCGTTGGTCGTGACGGTATGTATTTATTTTCTTATATTTAATGAATTTCATTAGAATTATTCTCTAAAATATATTTTATTTGTTTATTTATAGCCTATCTCTCAAGCTCAAGCTCGTCAACGTGCAGGCCGTGCAGGACGTACTGGACCCGGAAAGTAAGTATTGATTGTGATTGCTATTTATTTATTTGACGTGTTTGCCAAGATAAACTCATAATAATTTCCCTTTTACAGATGCTATCGATTGTATACAGAGGCAGCTTATCGGAATGAAATGCTTCCGAATCCAGTACCTGAAATACAACGAACAAATTTAGCTAACATTGTCTTAACACTCAAAGCAATGGGAATCAATGACCTACTACACTTTGACTTCATGGACCCGCCCCCAGTTCAGACACTACTAACAGCCCTCGAGCAGCTTTATGCTCTTTCCGCGTTAGACGATGAAGGTCTCTTAACAAAACTAGGACGAAAGATGGCCGAGTTCCCACTTGAGCCACCTCTCTCCAAAATGTTAATCGAGTCGGTAGATCTGGGATGTTCCGAAGAAATATTAACTATTGTCGCCATGTTATCAGTGCAAAATGTGTTCTATCGACCAAAAGAAAAACAAGCAGCTGCTGACCAAAAGAAAGCAAGATTTCACCAGCCAGAAGGTGATCATTTGACTCTTCTCACTGTTTATAATGGATGGAAAGCGAGCAAATTTTCGAATGCATGGTGTTTCGAGAATTTTATTCAAGCGCGAAGTATGCGACGTGCCCAAGACATTAGGAAGCAGTTGCTTGGTATTATGGATCGATACAAGCAAGACATCATTTCCTGTGGCAAGAATTATAATAAAGTTCGTCGTACTATTTGTGGAGGGTTCTTTCGACATGCTGCCAAAAAAGATCCACAAGAAGGATACAAAACGTTGGTTGAAGGAACTCCTGTATATATTCATCCTTCTAGTGCTTTGTTTAATAGAGGTCCGGAATGGTAAGTAATAACTACCCTATTTTTTTCTATATGATAAACGGCCTTATTTAACATTAATTATCTATTTTTAGGGTTATTTATCACGAATTGGTCCTTACAACCAAAGAATACATGCGAGAAGTGACGGCGATTGAACCTAAATGGCTTACAGAAGCTGCGCCCACCTTCTTTAAAGTTTCTGATGCAAATACTATAAGTAAACGTAAGAGATCCGAAAAGATTCAGCCACTCTTTAATAAATACGAGAAACCTAATGAATGGCGACTTAGTCGTGTTAAGAGACATCAAAGAGTCTCGCAAACTTTTGGTTAGTTTTTAATTATACTAGATATTATATATATAATTTTTTTAGTTAAACATTCTATTGTTTTTATCGTTATAGGTTAAATTATTATGGTAAAAATTATAAATTATTCGGGTCGGAACATTTACTTTGTGTTAATAATGTTTGATACTGGCAAAGCCTATATAACTCATTCAAATGCCTTAATATCGAGCTTCTAAGTTTCTGTTTTCTGCCAACTCAAAAATTATTTTATAGACGTCGTAAAGCATTGATTGTATTTATAGACATTAATTAATAATTCTGGTGTCGCTATAATAAAGATTTCCGAGTCATGTTAAATGATTCTTTTTATAAAGATTAAAATAATATAAATAAATTTATTATACAACGATAATAATTCATAATAATCGTTTTTGCCTCTATCTCGAATCAAATAATGTAATAATAAATTTACTTTCATAATAGATATTATCTTTGAAGCGATAAATCAGATGGTTAGTTAGGGTTATAATTTTTTCCCCGGGAATTGAAATCAAACCTAGTCGCATGGATTTTATTGAACTGATTACAAATTCAAACGGGACAATTATTAATTGAAAAGATCCTCCAGACAACTACGATACTATTACGAATTAAAACTGGGCGGATCATAGCCGGAAAATAAAATGTTTTCAACAATAATGAGTAAGTTAAAGATTCATTAATTAATAACAAACCTGTCGACTTCAGATTGACTTCGTCACGGATAATTTTTTTATATATAGTAACGGACGTATAATCTTCAACGTTCGCGTTGTCATGCTCCTGTGAACAAATGATAATAAGTAAGATACATGAATCATTGACAAGGATATCATGAATTCTTTTGCGAACATAAAGGATCAGAACTGCTAGAAATTTTGAGTTAACACGCTGACGGGTGACGACTAAGTACACAAAAGCATTGCCCGTGTAGATAGAACCTTAGCGAAATTCCCGGACGTTGCAACTCGTGCCCCTACACCTTTGACAGGTTAACATCCGACGGTCGACGAAAGCATTGCCCGCACTATGCAAGCGTCTAACCTAGCGAATGTCAGGGCACCAACATAGTCTTATGTGAAATCATTACGATCTTATGAGCGGTCACGCCGACGGGCGACGACTAAGTCGTGTCGAACCTAGCGAAAATGCCCGGACGTTAGCCACTCGTACACCTGACCCTGACAAGTTAGCACGCCGACGGTCGATCAGGTACACGAAAGCATTGTCCGTGACGAAGGTACACGAGGACGCTGCCAGTGTCTAACCTATCAACTCAGCCCCCGCACTTTGCATTGGAGAGTTAGCTTCTTCAGAGTTAACTTCCGCAGACCTAAGGCGAGGTTGCTTATGTCTGGATGCAGGGCACCAACATAGGCCCATGTGTATATAATTAACCACATATTGGTAGTGTCATCGATTTCGTTAATCGTTTACGAGTGCCGCCGGGCGACGACTAGGTCGTGTCGAACCTAGCGAAAATCCCGGACGTTGCAACCCATGACCTGCCGAGTTAGGTATTAGCGCGAAAGCATCGCCCGTGACAAAGGTGCACGAGGACACAGTCAGCATCTAACCTATAACTCGCACCTGCACCCTTTCTGATCATTAGAGTTATAGTTTCTTCAGAGTTATTTCAGTTAACTCAGATCTAAGGGCGAGATTGCCTATGAGAAGCAGGGCACCAACATAGTCTTATGTGAAATCATTACGATCTTATGAGTTAGCCACGCCGACAGGCGACGACTAGATTGCATAAAGGCATTGCCCCCATGTCGAAACTAGCGAAAATGCCCGGACGTTGGCGACTCGTACACCTGACCTGACAAGTTAGCACGCCGACGGTCGGTCAGGTACACGAAAGCATTGCCCGTGACGAATGTACACGAGGACGCTGCCAGTGTCTAACCTATCAACTCGGCCCCCACCCTTTGATCATTGCATTGGAGAGTTAGCTTCTTCAGAATTAACTTCCGCAGATCTAAGGCGAGATTGCTTATGTCTGGATGCAGGGCACCAACATAGACCTGTGTTGTAATTAACTACACCAGTGATAATATGGCAGTATCATCATCTCCGATAGAAGTAAATAACTATCGTTTTGCTCACCCGGGGTATCAACGAAAACCGCGGAGACAACGTCATTTTTCTTACAAGCGCATTCTATTCTTGTGTTTGCAAAATTCTATGGCGGGGCGGAGCTTATCGTTCGTTATAATTGTTTTACCATTTAGAGAATATTTTTCAATTATTGGAAAATACGAAAGGTGAAAAAAGGTGAAGTTATTCGCAGAAAGTGAAAAAGGGTTATTCACAGAAAGAGGTGAAAAAGTTATTCGCAGAAAGAGGTGAAGGGTTATTCGCGAAAAGAAAAAAGGTGAAAAAAAGATTTTGGGGAGATGGGGGGGGGGGTATATATGAATATTTTTGCTTGTTGTGTGTTGTGTTATGTTAGTAAACATTGCCGATTATTTTATCATGATTAATACGATCAAATAACAACCCGGCAAAACAAAAAAAATGAAAAATGCGAGAAATGTAAAAATACAAGAAACAAATATCGAAAAGACAATTTTACATATAATTTTGTCCTCTGCCTCTAACCCTAACCCTAACTCTAACCTTAAAACCAATTGTAGAATTTTCCTAAAACACACTAACAATATTGGAATTTTATATATATTTGAGATTAATACGCGTATACTTGAATGTGCGAGTAATCTAAAGCCATCCAATATCTTGAATATATTTTACAAAAAAATACATTGTTAAATAGTATTTAATAAGATTTTTTTAAAACTACTAAGGGAAGCGCCATTTATTAGATGATTTTCATTAATTAGAGAGATATCCTATCCAACCCCCTCCTGGTTTAATAATATTTTAGTCAATTAAATAGATTTATAATTATATCTGATAATTGACAGACATTTCTTACCCGTTCTCAAAATCATTTAATAAATAGTGCTCTTCTAATAATTATAACTCAATTTTCAACATATGTAATATCATGTGAATCATTTCTGATTGATACAAAACTTATTTTTGATAGATCTTTAAAATTTTTTTATTAAAGATTATATATAAACTAAGCACTTTTACATTTTTAATTAATGCTTTAAGTCACATTTAGATATTTATTTTTCATATTTTTTGCATTTTTTAATGTTTCTAGAAAAATTTGCAAATCCATAAAAAAATAATATATTTGTTTAATTAATTGTCTTATTATGTATTAAAATATAATATAATATAAAAAACAATAAATTCAAATATTATTTAATATATTTAAAAATATCAAAAATATAAATTTTGATTTAATTTAAAAGTTAATTTTAATATAAAAACTGAAACAAGTTTAGAATATGAAATATATAAATATCAAAGTTTGAAAAAAATTATTCATTTTTATTTAATATATAATTTATTATTTTTTAGTTAAAAAAATAATTATTTAAAATTAAAATCAATTAACAAAAAAATTATAATTTAAACACTTATCTAAATTATTGAATTATTCTTAAATTAAATATTATCTATAAATAATAAAAAAGATTCTTTAATTATAATCAAATAATACATAAGACAGTCAAATTTCTTATTAATCACACATGTTTATAGTTACATTTTTTATAATCACCTTATTTTGCTTTTCTATTTATATATAAACATAATAAAAAAATTTCTTTATAGTCACATTTCCTTTATATTTATCAAATTTTGCTTTTTCGAGAATAATGACTATAGAAAGATTTAATTGTAATAATAACTTAAATTGATATTATCATTTAATAAAAAGACAAGATAAATATTATATAGAGTAAACATATATAATTATTATATTAAAAAATATAATTATATAATAAACTTATAATAATTAATATAATTAAAATATTCTATTTTATATGATCAAACTTTTTCAAAATATTGTTGTATAATAATCTTTCGTCATAATATTTTATTATTGGATTATAAATATCTCATATATTATTGGATAAAGATTATGTCACGTGAAGCGAGCGAACAAGCGAACAAGCGAACGAACGAATAACTAAGCGAACAAGCGAATGAACGAATATTGAACCAATAGAATTTAAGTGATATAACGTACATGAATTCGTATAGTCTAGAAATTATATCTTGGATTTGTATAAAAGTAACATGTATCGTAGTTGTTAGAATTGGATATGAACAAGTTCTTTTAGATAGTAATTCCCAATTATCATGTCTAATTAATTATCACATAGTTTTGATCGTTCAAAGAAAAGTAGTTTGCACTTTATGTAGAGTAGGTAGTCAAGCGCAAACTCCTCTCTACACCCTT